AGCACAACAATGACTACTTGAACCAATAGACTAATCCCTATACTCTTGGTTCATCCACATGTAATTATGCCTAAGAAGGATGCATTAGTGTTGTGCTAAACAACTATGGATTAACCTATTTACCACTTATAATAAACCTAGAGGAGGTTTACTTTCACCCATGGTACAAGGGACAACTCATGGAACCACTGATAGGCTAACATTAACCCTACCAACTCAAAATGTAACCTTGAGTTGCTAATGTGCCTCTCTCACAAGCCCAAGCATAAACTTGTGCAAAATAATACACCTCAAATTCATCTTGCCAACTCAGTCCCTCTTATACCCAAGAGCACGCTCACATTATTACGGTATAAAAAGGTAACCAAATCCATACCCAAGGAACCAATGCAAAGTCTTAGCACCCAAATGTGTATCCACTCGGATCATCATTTTCATCTCTACATATGCAACAAGACTAGTTGCCCAATCTTATTAAATAATACTCACTAAGACGTATTCTCTAATACCAAATATATGCACATGGTTTTTACCCTTTATCCTAGTGATTTACCATAAGATAACCACGGAAGTGGAACCTAAACCCTCCATGTGCCACGTGTCACTTGCCACGTGCCATATGCAGTGCAGAACCCAAGTTTCAAGGCCATAGGCCATTGAATGAAGGAATGGTGTTAAACTCCCAAGCATAGAGCCAAGAAGATTGGCATTAGAGCACGAAACAACTCTCAAACATATAGCCCAAAGAATGAAGGGACAAGAGCACGAAGCAACTTGGATTAGTCCTAGAGCAACCAAGATCCCAATGCCAAGACTAGCATGCAAAACGGAGCCAAACATAATCTAGTGCTATTTCAGCATACCGATAGTCTAACGTAAGGATATGGGTACTCCACCAACTAGCATGGAATGGAAATTAAGGCTTAGACCAAAGCCGGACGTTAAACAAAGACAAACATGCAAGCAGGAGCTAGACTATGCCTCAAGTTGGTTGGCCATATTACCCACTATCCTTATTATACATTTGGAACCCCCCATAGACCCCCCCCCCCCCCGGGCTTTTAAGGAACACACACTTTGGGCTTTCACCCAAGCCTCCTTTAGTACCAGGAGTTAGTCTCTGGGACAAGTTTGAAACTTATTAAATATGGAATATTTTTAAATTGTGAATTTAGACATAGGATAAACACCATTGTGTTCAGGACAATCTCTACATTCCGTAGATATGCCAAATGAGCAAATCTAGACACTTTCTATAAATAGCATTTAGAACTGAGATGAGACTAACACAAAGGGCATGATAGCGAAGGTGTTTGGCAAACACAGTAAGCTATCATCTAGCGAATATTGAGGGACCAAGCTCAATATTGCAGGGGTTCTTGATACTAGCAAATGCAAACCAATGACACAAGTTTCTCAAACCAGGCTGAGTATGCTTAGTAAAAAACAGAGTTCCTACCTTATGTTTATTCAATTTAAATGCATGTTCATTGACCAATTTCTCAAGTAGCTCAAGTGGAAATTGATAATGGGTCCAGCAATACTGATCTCCTGCTGTCGTGGCAGTAAGGAAGAATATCTAAAAGGACTAATCGATAGATAATTTTCGATACCCGAAGTCACATTAGCAACAACAACAAGTAACAATAATATTCTAAATAAATTTAGCTATTTATCTAGAAATTAAATTATTATTAATTATTTAATAAAAAATAATTTAAATTTTACTTGATTAATTAATTAATTAGAGGAAAATATCTAATAAAAACTTTATACCATTTTACCATTAAAATATCAAACATTTTTATTTTAAAAATACATTGAAATATATAAAATGTAACCTGTTCAATTGGAGTTTTATACATTAAGCATATGAATATAATAAGAACATTGTCTTTATGATGGAATGTTTGGTATATATGTATAAAATTTTTAACTTTCAACTACAATATTTTTTACGAAACTTCCTTCATCCTATAAAAACCAACATCCAAATTTAAATTCTAAAGTTTTTATTATATTTATTAGCAATATATTAAAATTATTCTATCAATTTTTTACTATCTTGATTGAGCTTACTAAATAAATATCAACTACATATAAAAAAAATGAAAACTAATAGCATTATTAAGAAGTATCTAATTGAGTAAAGTAAGTAGACTTTTATTCCTTTTGCCTCAATTTCTAAAGCTTGGGAGACTGCGCATGAGCTAAAACTCGAGTAAGAGGTGTGGAGCCAACCACCCGAGCTCTGAACTTGGCTGCCAAGTCAACAAATAAAACTCATTAAAAAAATTTAATGTAAGAAAAATCTCTATATAAAACTTCTTACTTGTTTGCAATGATACTTTGGTCCCACAACCAAGGGACTTAATGATATCATCCCTCCACCTTTTCATGTAGATAATAGTTATGTCTGCCCCAAAAGAGCACTGGCAAGGTATGTTCTCTCATCACCCCTGAATGATAGAGCTTCTATGTTATGTACCTCTAGAACAAGTTTATATAAACATCTATCAATAGAAAACCAAATAAACGTCAGTAAGTGAGATAATTTGTTAAGAGCTCATCCACTTGAGCTACATGCTCCTTCTCGAGCTGGGAGGTAGCTTATGGCACATTTGGATGACCACTTTTGTGTTGTTTGATCAGCATGGTTTTATACCATACCCACTCCTCCATAGTGACTTTCTAAATGCTTGCCAAAGCACTTAAAAATGAAATCCCCCATTCGACAAGTATTATCAAGGAGAGCATCAATTTCATGGACAACACCATTGTCATTTGCAACACTCCCAGCACCAGCACAAAAACCACACTGTATGACACCAGATTTGTTTTTCTTTGTTCCAATCGTGAATGTCTATAGAGGATTAGAGCTCCACAAAGGAAGATAGACTGAAACTTACCAGGCTAGACCATATCATGGTCGTGATGGCATTCGCCTTCAGAAAGGCTGTATATACATCCGCGCACCAGCACGAGAACCACACTGTCACGACCACAGCATTGTCTGACTTAGTAGATTTTTCTTCCTTTGTGAAGCTCTAACTTTTTGCTTCCTTTGTAAAGATTCACGACTGTAACAAAGAAAGACGAATTTGTTAAAGAGGAGCTCTCAGGCCATAACATCATACAGTGTGATTCTCGTGTACAGCACAACTACAACATCGTTTGGCACATAAAAACCACACGGTGTGATGTTATGGCCTGAAAGTTCCTAATAGGCTCGTTTTTCTTTGTTCCAGTTGTAAATGTATATAAACACTTAAAGCTCCACAAAGGAAGATAGAAACTTATCACACTAAACAATGTTGTGATTGTGACAGCATTCATCTTAAGAAAGGTTGTACAAACATTTGCAGCACTCCCAAACACTAGTACAAGAACCAAGACAGTTAAAGACCATGAAAAGGTACAGACATAGCTTATAAAGACGGTTGAAGAGCATGAGAAAGCACAAGAAGTTATGGTTCTTAGAATAATATCAGGCATGATTAGGGCTTTGAAGATATAGTTTAAGGTGTAGGAGGAATTCATGAAAATTCTATGGTTCACAAGTATTTCAAATTCCAGAGTTCTTGGGAAGGGAAGTAATATGCATTTTACAAAGATGGTAACTGAAGATTTGTGTACAGCCTTTTTAAAGATGAACACTGTCACGATTAAAATTTAAAAAGCCTATTGTATTTGTTTTCAAAAAGGCTGTACATAAGTCTTTAACTGCCATCTTCATTATTTCCCTTGAGCTTTTGGTACTACTTGTGAACCACATGGTTTTTATGAACTCTTCCTGCACTTTAAACTACATCTTCAAAGCCCTAGTGTTATTCCAAAAACCATATATTCTTATGCTCTTTAACTGTCTTGTAGCATTACACAGTATGGCTAGTTGGGCCTGCACTAGCTTTATCAGGAACTATATGGTCTACGACCATCTTGGCTAGCTGAGCCTGCATTTGTTCTATCTAGGCCTGTGCCTTTGTGTAATCCTTCTGAGCCATGCTTGGACCCGGCTTACTACCAATGAACATATGTTTTATGTCAGGTGGCTAGTTCTGCAAAGACAGGCTTTACCTTTATAGACTGTTGAGCACGTCAAAAGGTCTGAGCGCTCTGTGGCAAATGTTTGCATCCAATATTCTTAAAATCTCCAAGCTTAAAAAGGGCATCGAGCTTAAAAATCAGATTGCAAATTCGAATCGAATGGTGCCACGCCTCGCCTTGGAGCCATTGCCTCCACGTCTTGGCCTTGGAACCGTTGGATTGCTGCGCCTTGCCGTACAATAAAAGGTTTATTTTTAGTTTTTAGGGCTCTTAATGCTTGGTCATATCCGTTGCGGTTGCTGCTCAGGACTCTGGGCCGGGTCGTGATGAATCCCCCAGATATTGACGAGCGGTGTGGTGTTGGCCGGGATTGTGTGGCTGGCGAGCTGGTCCATGGAATTCCTTTCGATTTTGGAGATTGAGAAGAAAGAGAAATGGGAGATAAGAGAAAGGAGTGGAAAGATATATGTCATGGTCCTTTGTCTTGGGAATTCGCTTCAAAGTGAGCAATGGCTTGGAATTCCTAGTCCAGAGTACTCCCCCGATCCCATTTGTGGGTAATTGGCAAGGTTTGAGCAGGTGCTGTTTCTACATTTGTTTGTAAAGGTCCAAACTTCTTGGTTCTACTTGAATTAAAGGTACAAAAGACTTTCCCAATCTTCACTTTTACAGAATACATGGAGTAAGGCGTTCAGACAATCTAAAATACATCAGTGGAAACATTTCAAATGTTTCATTCTCAATTTCCCAGAACTAGCAGACATTTATTGATTCTGGTCCACAAATGATCAACGTGAGCTGTACCTTAAGCTGCATCTAATCCACTTGGTGTTCTTCCAAGAACTAATCACGTTGTCTTCACAAGCTGGGCGTGTGTCTTTTCATTCCATGCTCTTCAACCTTCTTCATTAATTCAGATCCGACGTAAAGGTTTGCTACTTTGCAAATACAAATATTTTAAAGGTATCCGTAAAGTTGTTCATTTTCTCACAGTGGCGCAGACAATCCGGTGCTTGGCGGGCATGGTCGCCAGCCCCGTCTTCTCCTCCATGTCAATCTCCTGCCCATCCGGCATCCTCCACTCGAATCGATGCAGAAGATAGGCCAGCGTGAGCGACACGTGGGGAATCGCCAGCGGTATTCCCACGCAGCGGCGCCGCCCGGATCCGAAAGGTATGAGATCGAAGTGGTTCCCCAGGACGCTGTGATCGCTGCCCAGGAATCGCTCTGGGCAGAAGCTCTCGGGATCGCTCCAGTTCGCCGGGTCGTGATGGATCCCCCAGATATTGACGAGCAGCGTGGTGTTGGCCGGGATTGTGTAGCCGGCGAGCTGGGAGGTCGCGGGATTGCTGTGTGGGAGGCCAGTGGTGGCCAGTGGATGCAAGCGCAGGACTTCCTTGACGATGGCTTGGATGTAAGGGAGATCTTTGAGGTCTGTCTCTTCCAGGCAGCGGTTCCTTCCAACGATCCGGTCGAGCTCTTCGTGCGCCTTCTTCTGGACGCCGGGGCAGCGTATCATCTCGGACATCGCCCACTCCACAGTGCCTTTGGAGGTGTTCGTCCCAGCTAAGAGAAGATTCTATCAAGAAATCGAGCACGAGTTCTTAGCGAGCAAGAAGAGATTTTTTTCTCCTTACCTGGAGGAGTGCGATGATCGCCATGTCGTCCAGCTTGTTCTCGCCACCCAGTGAGAGCATCACGTCCACAAAGTCCCTGGGAGGATTCTCCGCGACGAAGCTCTCCTTGTGCTGCTTGACGATCGCGTTCAGGAAGTTCTCCACTGCCGGTATGATCTGGTTCTTCAGCCTGTGCTCGCTCCTCTTGACCTTATCGACCCATCGCAGCGCAGGGATGAAGTCTCCGATGTACAGCCGCTCCGACTCCGCGATGATCGTGTCCCACACAGCGCGATAAGCCTCGGCCTCTCGGGTGACAGGGGTGTCCGAGTTATAGAACTTCTGGCCGAAGAGAACCGACGTCATCAAGTTGGTGAAGAGCTCGTGGAGCAGCGCGGTGAGATCAAACGCCTCCCCGGCAGCCGCCGACTTCTCGATGATCGAGGCAAACGCCGCGAGCTCGCGCTTGCGGATCCCAGAGAAGTGGTTCACTCTCCCGGCGGCGAAGATCTCCGTGCCGCTCACTCGCCGCAGCATCTTCCAGCGCTCGCCGTGAGGAGCAAACACAAGATCATTGTAGTCGTGGCTTACGTTCTTGAAGAAGGTGTGGAACTGGGGCCTGCTCGCAAACTCGACATCGTGATCCTTGAGAACCTCCCTGGCCATCGCGGGGCTGCTGATGATTACGTGAGGACGGCTTCCCAGCTCCATATACATGATCGGTCCATACTTCTTGGCGAGACGATGGAGAGAGCGGTGCCTGGAGCGGCCGAGAGAGGGCAGTGATCCAACAAGAGGCCAGGAAAAGGGACCGGGTGGAAGATTGCTATGCGCCCTCTTCCTCGAGTAGAGATTGAGCAGCGCAAAGAATGCGATCGCCAAGCACAGACAAGTCGTCCAGTAGTACCAAACGCTGGAGTAGAGAAGAGAATCCATGGAAATCCTTTGAGAGATTTTGGACATTGAGAAGAAGATAAGAGAAAAGAGTGAAAGAGATGAGGATGGAGAGGTAAGTGTGTGTTGAACTTATACTAGGAAAAATTCCTACGAATGGAAAGTCCACAAGCATCAAGATCAATTGCATGTTCTTAGAAATTGAGAAGGACATGTCTAAAATGTTTTGATTTGTCTTTCTGTAAAGTGAAGATTGGTGGTTGAATTTTTTCACTTTGACATTTAGATAACTAAACAGAAATCACATTGCATCAACATCTATAGGGAATGTTTTGTTTTAATTAAACAGTCAAATTCCCTTTGTTTGTTCTAGTTTTGAGTCGGTTATTAGATGCTTAGGGAATGCTCCCTATAGGGGGGGGGGCACTTTGCGTCCGTCACCAGGTTGGCACACCAGGACTCACCATTGCCACACAAACAGCTTGGGCAAACTGTTAGCAGCCTACAAAGTCAAGCCACAAACCCCTAAGCCCAACCCTTAGAGCCAATCTTTTTCCCCGAAGTTATGCATCTATTTGTCAACTATTAATCAAAATTTTCCTTATATTGTAAATATTTTTAATCATGGATCTAAATACAACCAAGTTTCTTAAAATTATTTTTCTCCATCTTTAGAAGTATCACCTTTATCTATGTATCTGAAGAACTTTATTTTACTTGAAATTCTTTCATTTATTAACTTTAAATTTCTGTTAATAAAAAGTTAAAACTCCAAGGACAAGTATACAATAATATTAAATAATTACACCAATAAATAATAATATTTTTAAGTATTCTTAATGTTTTAGCATTAATAATATACAACACTACAACAGGATTTAAGCAATGAGACTAGTACTAAAATAACTCAAATTTTTTTAAGAAAATATATACTTGTAATATCCATAATGTTAAATATATAAATTTTTATTTTTATTTTTCTATAAGTGGGTATTAATTTTATATGTAAAAGTTGTAATGATAACTATAACAATGTTCCATTCACTTCTATATATTTAACACTTAGTTGTGTGTATGTATGTGTGTGTGTGTCTATATATATAAACACATAAAATTTAATATATACATAAAAAATAAAAATAAAAATTTAATTGTAGTAAAAAATTTTATGCCATTTCACTAAACATCAGTTTAAAATGATGAAATTTAAAACCAAACAATAACCTAAAATTTCAACCATCTTTGAATTCTAAGCACTTCTCATTTTGATATATAAAAAAGAATCTTCAATCCACTTCTTGTAAAGAACTTTGTTATAAAAAAAATTTAAACTTATCTCTTTGTATTTTCCTATGAAAATTTTTATTTTTCTTTTCCTCCAGGATGGCTACCACAAATTTTACAACTTCTAGTATTTACAATTATTGTCAATCTACAAAATCCAATAACAAGTTTGTAGAGCAAATCTATAAAAAATATTAAAATTAAAGTGTCTTCAAAACTTTTTAAAAGATACTATGGTTAAAATCCTGAGCACTGCTAAAGTGATAATTCTTGATCCTCATATAGTTTTTGCATCTTCATGTAACATTTTAAATATTCCACAATAATAGATTTTATTTAAATATGGAGTGCTTATGCAGCATTTTTTTAAGAATCATATATATCTTTAAAGTACCTTTCTTTACTTTCCTATAAATGTTTTTCATAGCCACCTTAATAATTTAATACATATATAAAATAGAAATTTAGAAGCAAAGGTTTTTAATAGCCTTTTGCAAATAATAAATACACACACACACACACACAACTTTTAGTGTTTTAAGAATAATTTTTAATTTTTTGCAAATAATTATTTTAATATATAACTTCATATAATAGTTAATTTAGTATTTAAATACAAGCTCCACTTTTGTAACACTTTATATTTATTTAATTTCAAAATTTACAAATAACACCCTTCTCTAGCATCTCCTTAATATTGGCTCACAAAATCTTAATCTTTTTTAGTGATTAACACTAAACATGAATCTTGTTTAAATGAATATCTCTAATTAAAACAAGATTGACACATTGCAATCTTTGCCCTAGAAGACATATGAAAGTCAAAGAAATCAATATACTTTTTCTTGAGCCAATCAACTAGAGCATTATAAAGATTATCGAGGGAATATGAGAAGAGTATGAAAAAAATGGTAAGAAGTAATAATAAAAACTAGACATCATCTCAAGAACAATTATTGTGAAGTGATTAAACTAATGATATACATCATCCTTAGAATTCCCATAGAAGAAATTCAACTAAACTTAAGGATTGGTAAAAAGAGTAGGAGGAAGAGAAGTTACACCATATGTTATGAACATTAGTATCAATTGTGTTTTAATTATCTAGTTACAACTGCATAACATTGAGCAATTATAGCAATTATTTCTCCATAAATAAAAGATTTAGTTACTATGAGAGGAGAGAAAAAAAAGTTATAAGAACAACAAAAATCTAGATGATGCAAAAGCTAAATCTAAAGAAAAATTACAAATCTGAACACTCTTAAGAGCTTTACCTCCACTAATGTAAGACCCAAAAATGTATATACTCATAAGAACATAAAACCTTAGTTTATATAAAAATGAGTGGTCCAGCGTGAATCTGATCTTATGACTATCAAAATTACACACCAATAATAGTATAGCCAAACAATTACTTACCAAAAGAAATTATAATTTAATTTTAGAAAAGAAATCAGGTTTATATAGGTTTTTAAAATGAGTTTTTGATGGGATTCATATAATACTAAATTAATTCACTTTGAAGAGAAAAAAACTATTTTTTAATAAATTACAATTACTTCTTACAATTTACAATATGACCAAACTATAATTAAATTATCAGAATATAATACAGTAAGCCCATCCATATCTACACAATTTTTAAAGAACGTTATTTGAATATTTTTTAGGAAAAACACGTGGCAATGTATTTTTAAAAATTAAAATACTATATATATTTAAAAATAAATTCTTGCATTGACTAACATTCTTCTAAGCAACAATTACAATCGCAAGTATAAATAAGATGAGCTCCATAACTTCTCAAGCATAGCAAGCAAAGATACTTCTTTCGTTGCTCTTTAAGTCCCAAGGAGTTCACGGGTCCTCTAGAAGAGAAGGTGAAAAAAAAAGAAATAGTGACAAGGATATTGCTTGGCCAAGCTGGAGCGGTAACGTCCGGCTGCAATGCGAGGTAAGTCACAAGTTTCACGGTATGTTTTCGAGTATCTTGATGATATCCGGACTGATTGTGTGTGGATCTCTTCATGAAAACTTCGCTACTACAGGTGCTGGTTTGTAAGGAAACGTTGTTCCTCTGAGAATTCGTGATTTATGACTGCACAGAAACCACGAGGCCTCCTTTTGATCATCTGTTATACTTGGCTGATATTTTCGCATCTTCATTGATCTCCCTGTCGATTGTAGTGGCACCGACTGTGAAGATCCAGAGAGCACCGTTGGACACCGATCCAGTAAATGGTCCAGAGTTTCCACCAGCGTAAAAGACCATGATCCCTCTTTCAACGGCGTGATAGGCACCAATCGCAATGACGTCTACGCTGTAAACTGCGAGATAGCCTCCGAGTGAGATGGACAGGACATCCACGCCGTCGTTGATGGCATCATCGAAACCCGCAGCAATGTCAACTTCCTTGCAGCTATCCGTCCAGCAGACTTCGTACACGGCAATCCGAGGATTTGGAGCTCCTCCTCGTCTCTTACTCGTGTGTGGAACCAGCCTTCCAGCAGCTGTCGACGACGTATGAGTTCCATGTCCAACTGAGTCTCTCGAGTTCTTGTATGGGCCCGTCAAGACTTTTGCTCCGTTATAGTATCTCCAACGAGTTTCCTGGTAAAGAGTTCATTCATCACTATAGTCTTTTCTTCTGGAAAACTTTAACACGTACTTGACAGTCTTATTGGCGTGGATTGATGCAAGTTCCTTTCCAATGAGCTGGCGCAGGTCCCACGTCTGAAACTCTCCGACTCCAGCCAGATAGCACATCAAGCTTTTTCGAGCGAGTTTTGTAAGTTACCTGTGTCCAGAACTGACAATCATGTCAGTAGGAGCACTCAGCGTGACTGCTTTTGGCTGGCATGGCCAGGCTGAGGCCAGTGTGTTGTTAATGGATGGAGCGTTTTGCTATTGAGGACTTCAAGCATTCTTACAGTATTTGTAATTCATTTTTACTACCAATTCCTGCAGTATTTTATTTTTATTATCAATTCTTGCAGTATTTGTAATTCATTTTTATTACCAATTATTGTAAGTCTGTCTGCTAGTCAACTATTGTTGACTGAGAGTCAGTCAGCCAGCTGTCAGTCAAGCACTTAAGTCAGAGTGATTGACTGACAGTCGGACCCATTTGCGGTTTGAAATTTGAAATGGCTAATTTGAAGAAATGGCTTTCGGTTTTTAAAACATTTTTGATTTAGTGAAACTGCTCCAAAGCTCAGAAAGTTGAAGTTAGCATCACCAGCAACGTTGTTTGTTGTGGGGTTCCATATCTCAGTCAATGCCTACATGACAGGTGCTGCTGGGTGCCTTCTAATATTTCTGAACCGCTGTTGTATATTTGGATCCTCAAGATAGTTAACAAACTCCCAAGCTTCGTTGTCATCCCAATTCGGAATAACCTTCTTCGACCGGCTTTTAGGGGTTGATCTCCGCAAACGTGTTCATTATTGTGGACGCCCACGTACTATCCCCTGAGTCTCCTCTGCCTGCTGTGACTCTGCTTCAAGTTCAACCTGTTGTCCCGGCTCCTCTCGGCCCGGCCTCAGTCGGCTGTCCATCTTCATCCATGACCCGACGCGGACCCACGCGCCTGCTTGCACGTCGCTTGATGATCGGAAACCATTTAATGTGGTAGACTATAGCCGTATTCTCGCACTTCCTCGCGGCAGAGTAAGTTCAAAGCTTCAAACCTATGCTCGAGATCTTGTTTGCACCGCAACCATTCACTACAGTCTGTGATCATAACATGGTTCCTCACTCTGATTCTCCGTGGACGCGTCTTACAAATTCGGCTCTGCAGTACACGCACCTGTATTCTCTGTTGTCGTCCTTAAAGGTAAACTTAGACACAGGGTCATCTGGTTTCGGATCC